TTCTTGTATAAGCTGACGATTATGGTTTTGCAAAGTAATACTGTCCTATATAAGCTAGTTGATATGATTTTGTTGAAGTGTATCAAGTTATCTATATCTGTTAATATCTTGTTTTAACTGCAATATTTGATTGTCTCAATCATCTCGTTGGACAATGACATCATTTATATTCCAGTATACAGATTGATAATTATATTAAACGATATTCAAAGAACCTCTAATGCCATTTATAATATTAATAGGATTATTTAATGATATTTCAACATTTCTAAAAAATTTTTTAATATAATTTAAACCTTGATCAATTTGTATAATAGGGTCAAAATTCACCATATTAATGTTTTACTCTTCTAAAGATTGAGTATATGAATCTGGTGAGCTTCTTCTTGAAGAAATAATTTAGATCTTTTCATCAAATGCATTGATATTTTTCTAAAAAATTATAATAGCTTTTTCAGATGATCTATATATTTCTCTTGACTTACAGTAGTCTGAATTGTCTTTTCTAATTAATTTTTAATATTAGATATTTGTTGATACAATGGGTCTAGTTTATCATCACGAATCAATATCTCTTTCTCAAGAAATTTAATATAATCTTCTTTTAAAATTAAATCTTGTTGTAATTTTCAAAATTACTTTTTTATAGTTAATAAACTATCTTCGAATTGTTTAATCTTCAATATCATCATTAGGATTTTTTATATTATAAATAAAATAAGTAATCTTAGTATTGTTATAGACCCTTTAGAATCTTGAAAATTTGATATATCTATTGCTTTGCAAAAAATCTATTACTATCTTTCTGGATATCAAAGGACTAGTAAAAAACTTTATAAAATTTTACAAAAAGCTAGATTCGATTTTATATTGGCCAAAGTTCAAGAATGGCTTATGAGACAATTATTACACTTAATTCATAAATCTCGATCAAAGTATATTCCTTATGTTAGTTTTAATAAGATTACTATTCCAATAGAAGTTATACAGGCTAATTTATGTTATATGCCTCATGATAAAATTGGAAACAAGATTTATAAATATACTTTAACATGTGTTAATGTAACAAGTTGAACTAAGTAGGTTTGTTCTTTAACCAAACAAAATTCTGATAGCATTGCTAAAAGATTTATAAAACTTTTTAAATTTCATAACTTTCTTCTTATACAACTAAAGACATTGCAAATAGATTATGGTGTAGAATTTTATAAAAAATGTGAAGAGTTAATGGTCAAGTATAATATAGAAATTAATTGAAACAAATTGAAAAAAAGACAAGGTATAGTTGAGAAATTTAATCGAACTTTGTAAAAGTGGAGATTTTTTATTCAAGATGCTGTAGAATTGTTGTTACTTCCAACAGAATGTTATAAAGATTGGGTTATAGATTTTCCTATATTTCTTGAAAAGTTTAATAATACAAAAACTCGATTAATTGATATGTCCCCTACTAAAACTCGAAAATTAAAACATGTATATGCTAAGTTATCTAAACCTAAATATGGTTCTATGGGATATAATAAAATTCATTTAACATATAATGATTCTGTTTTATATTTCCTTAATTCTGGTAAATTGGAAGGTGAAAGAAAACATGTTATTGATTGTAATTGGTCTTCTCAAATTTATCATATCAAAGAATCTCTGATATAAAAAAATCAACCAGTCTTGTATTGAATTGAAGATATTGATAGAAATAATACAAAGCGATCTTTTGTTCGAGAAGAATTGATGGTAGTTAGAAATATTGAATACCCTTCTCAGAGAATACTCTCACGAAGTAAGGATATTTAATGTCTAAGAATTGAGAAAATCATCTACCTTTTCTTTGATTTCTTTATTAATAACGAAGTGGTCTTTGGTTAATTGATAATTAAATCATTAAGTTTTATTATAGCTTGAAAGATTTTTGATTTGTTTTTATACCATTCCTGATATTGTCTTTTTATTTCATTATATTTATCTTCGTTTGAGATATATTTTTTTGCATTGTTTAAATATAAATATCTGGATCTTCAGTTTAGTGTAATTCTGCATATTGCTTTTTATAATTTTGTATGAACTTATTATCTTTTGGTTTTTTATAATAGACACCTGTTTTTATTATATTTACTATAGTTTTTTTAATATCTTGCTATATAGGTTTAAAAGATTTGACTTCTGTTGATACTTGATTGATATTTTGAGTAAAAATTGACATTTGAAATATGTTATGTTTTGATTAACTAAGGAATTATATATATTATGTAAACTTTTATTCAATTTAAATTTTCTATCCCATATATAAAATAATAGCAGAATATATCTGTGACTATTTACATAACTCCGGAAAAGTTTGTGACAAAGCTTATACTTGACCTGAAGGATATTGACATTATTATTAGGTTAAAAAGTGATATTTTTGTACTAATTGTGATAAGCTTACTGGTTCTGCTTGTGGTCATTGTAAATTACATAAGAGAAGCTATTATAGTATTCAATATGTTAATAGATTATATGAAAAAGCTATGTTAAATAAGGTTAGATTTTGATACTTATGAGATTAGACTTTTGATATATATATATAAATTTTGGTATTTATGAGGTTAGGTTTAAGGTTAGACTTTTGATATGCATATAAATTTTAATATCTATGAGATTAGGTTTGAGGTTAAACTTTTGATATGTATATAAATTTTAATATTTATGAGGTTAGGTTTGAGATTAGATTTTAATATCAATACTCAAGATATTAGATTTTTTGTGTCAGAAAAATAATGAAAAATCATCTTTAGAATAAATTCTGATATATCAAATAATATCATAAATAATTGTTATCCCTTTTGATATAAATTTGAGAAGATAAATATGTTCTAAATATATAATAAATCAATATATTTTGATATAAAAATGACGTGAAAAATAAAAATTTAATGTCATATTTTGTATAATATAAAGGATTAAGTTTTAGTAACTTGAAAAACCTAAATTGATATATGAAAAATGATGTAAGTTTCATATTTTTGAAGTGTAAAATATAGCAAGCTGATTATCGCTATATCAGGATCCCCATTTTTACCCTACTAAATATACATGTTCCTAAAATTGATTTTGGATTTTTAAGATATTTCAACTTTTTGAGATTTATGCAGAATTTATTTTATATATAAAAATAAAAAAAGTATTCAGTTATGTGTATATTCAATCAAAGAATAAATCTGAATCATCAAAAATTTCAAGTTTTAAATAAAATAATTTCGTTTTCTATGAAAAACTATTTTAACTTTTTTCTCTGAAATTGTAATTTCGAAGTTTTAAAATAATTTTGTATACAAGTATAAGTCAAGATAATTATAGGGTTAATAGTTCTTCTTGAAAAGAATAAGTATATTAAATTTATAATAATTGGATCAGTGATTATTAAGAAATTAACTTTTGAAAATTGAAATTTTTATTAATAAATTTTTTTTTTAATTATTTTATTAGTAAAATTTCAATTTTCAAGAGTTAATTTTTTAGTAATTATTAATTTAATTATTATGACATTTGATATTTCTATTTTCCTCAGAAAGGACTATTAACTTTATAATTATCTTGACTATAATTATTTTGCATGAAATTTTATTTACAATTGAAATTTTATTAAATAATAATTTCTAATGTCAAGCTTTCATTTACACAAAACCAGGATTATAAATTTGATATCAAAAATATTTTAAAAAAATTTTCAAATCTCAAAGATTAAAATTTATTTAGTAATTATTATTCTAAAATTCATTATTTAAATTATTTAAGTATTAAAATTTTTTAAAAATAAAAAAACAGGTGTTACAATACTTTTGTGAACCATCATATATTTAACTAGTAAAATTAAGACTATAAATTTAATATTAAAATATTTTAAAAAATTTTTTAAAACCTAAAGATTAAAATATATATAGAATTATTATTTTAAAATCTATTGAAAAATTATATATATTTACAAAATTGATTTTGAATTTTTGAAATATTTGACTTTTTAAAATTTATTTGAAATCTATTCACAGGTCAAATACAAAAAATAGGCTATACTGAAAAGGAATTTTGAAAATGAATTCTGATTTTAGTTAATTTATAATATAAGATGTAATAAGATAATTGATTGTTATTGATTTTTAGTTGATCTATAGTATAGAAAATACTATTCAGTACAGTAATTCTTTTGTATTTGACTAGTGATTCTATATTTAAAGGTAAAAAGATTATTCAGATAAATGTATTTTAATCAAAGAATTGTTGGGTGATCAAAAAATTTTAGATTTTAAGTAAAATAATTTTGTCTTTTATAAAAATTATTTTAATTTTTTTTTTTAAAAAAAATTAATTTCTAGGTTATACAGATAATTTCAAATACAATCATAATTCAGATGCTAGAAGTTTTTAAAGAAAAAAAATCAAATAATACATTACTTTGAAAGTTATTATATTAAGATAATATAATATTAACAATATCTTTATTTAATAAAAAGTAATTTTAATTAATATTGATAATTGTGTTTTTTAAATTACTTAATTGTTTTTTATAATCAAAAGATATAATAAAGAAAGTATTAAATTTTTATTATTATACATTAATTTCTTATTAAGTATAAATGTAGATAATGTAAAGTTTATTTTTTATATTTATAATTGATAATTTAATTATTTAATAAAATAATATTATCAATATTATTTACATACATTAAATGATGAATGATTTAATAAAAAAATGCATTGAATAAATAAATTTTATTTATTCAGAATAAATGTGACATTAAAACATGCACATTTGATTTAAAATCTGTTTCTTTTTTTTAGATATCATTTTTAAAATGTAATTGTATATTTGGATTGTGTCTTCTGATTTATTTTAGCCAATTACATACATGTCGATCATTAAACTATTAACCAATAAAAGTGAAATTCCCTTATGCTTATCCAGGGCACTTCGGAGAATCCGGAATAATATCCAAGTTTTCATTCTTTTCAAAAAAATAGTAATTATGCAGATTAAAGTCAAGGTATTTTTTGAATCTGTTTCTGAACTAGAGTTGAGAATTTGAAAACGCAAGGAATCTTAATAGGAAATGCATCTATGAAATTAATGTTTCTTTTTTTTTTTTGTGTTTTTAACTTGTCTTGTGGATAGACCCTTACTGGTAAAGAAGTAAGTAATTTTGATATCTTTATATCATTAATTATAAGTGTTTATTTATTTTTTATTTATTGAAATTGTCTAGATTGCAATCGATATTGAAGAAACTGATACGGTACATATTAAAAAAAAAATATGACTATAAAATTATTTGAGACATGTTCAACTTGTTAACATATATTATTCTAATTTTAGGTGGCAAGAATCAAAGAACGGGTAGAAGAAAAAGAAGGTATTCCTCCAGCTCAGCAACGGTTAATTCATTGTGGTAAACAGTTGTACGTCTTTTTTTTATTTAAGATCTTATTTTATTGGAGATCATATATTATTTGAAATTATGGAAATCTTGGAAATGATGAGTTTTTTTTTTTTTTTTTTTTACATTTTATTTTGATTAAGAATTTAAAAAATTTTCTCTTATAAATTAGGACCGATGAAAAGACAGTTAAAGAAGCCATTATACGAGCCGGTGAAGTTCTTCATCTTGTGTTAGCTCTTCGTGGTGGTGATCTACGTTTTCAAAGTTGACCAGTAATCGGGGGATATATTAATTAAGAAATATAATAAAAAAAAAAAACATATAATTTTTCAATACAACAATTTTACTATATAATCAAGTAGGTTATTTTTTAAAAAAAAATTAATATATATATTTTTTTATTATAAAAAAGTATACATTATATATATAACTCAAAAATTATTCGTTTAATAAATTATATTTACTTAGTTAGAATGGAGATTTTGGGATTATGATAAATCATATATATATACATAAGTTTTATATATTATTCATTCGTGGATTTCCAATTAATAATAACAATAATAACAATGTTAACAATGGGTTAAAGTAGGGATTATCGTAGTACTTATTCTCGAGTCATTCATTATAAAACTCGTTGATTTTAATTCCAAAACATTTTGATTTCATCTTGCGCCACTCAAATAATCAATAATTTCATCAAGATTTAAATAAAACGCGAATTATATTAATAAATATTAATCAAAGTACATTGATTTTATTAATTTAATTTATACTAAATTTTTCTAAATTTGTAAATTTGTAAAATTGATTTCATTAACCAATCATTGTAATCATCGAAAAATTGATAATCTTTCATTGTTTTTATTGTATTGAATTACTATTTTTTCTTTAAATTTTCTTTCCTTCGCAAAAATTATGTTCAGAGCACCAAAACCGAGTATTAAGCTGGTTCATATACTACTTTTTTTAGGCAATTTTTTTCTTCTTCTTCTATATTTTAATTTTTAAACTTAACTAAAATTATTTTTATAGATCTCAACCTCAGTTTTTTCCAGAGCTTTTCACGTCTCATACCCGACTTCTAGAGTAATCGCAACACAACCTCTAAATTCAAAGGATGCAAAAGTATGTATCAGTATTATATAATGAATTTACTTATTTCCAGGCTTTTATTGTGACTCTTCAAGTTTAACATTTCCGTTTACCTTATATTATTTTCAGCCTATTTTGGCAAAATATCCTGTAATTGATCACACTTACGATGCCATTGTGATTGGTGCGGGAGGTTCAGGTTTACGTGCTGCTTTTGGTCTTGCTGAATCTGGTTTAAATACTGCATGTATTACGAAATTATTTCCAACAAGATCACATACTGTTGCTGCACAGGTAAAAAAAAACAAAAACAGAGAATTAATAATATATATATATATATATATATTTAATTTTAATTTAATAATAATAATTTTCCATATTATGAATTTGGTTTAGGGTGGAATTAATGCCGCGCTAGGAAATATGACCGAAGATGATTGGCGTTGGCATATGTACGACACTGTTAAAGGTAGTGACTGGCTTGGAGATCAAGATGCAATACATTATATGTGTCGTGAGGCACCTGAGGCTGTTATTGAACTTGAACATTATGGAGTTCCTTTCTCACGAACTGAAGATGGTAAAATTTATCAGAGAGCCTTTGGTGGTCAAAGTTTAAATTTTGGGCAAGGTTTGCACGAGTTAATTCACATGTTCACATGTAAATCGCGTGAATATAGTTTGTACGTTAATTATTATTAATTATTATTAATTTAGGTGGGCAAGCTTATCGATGTGCTGCAGTAGCTGATCGCACTGGTCATTCCCTTTTACATACATTGTACGGTCAATCTTTGAGACACAACACTACTTTCTTCATTGAATATTTTGCCCTTGATCTTTTAATGGAAGATTCAATATGTCGAGGTGTCATTGCTATAAATATGGAAGATGGTACTTTACATCGATTCCGTTCTCATAAAACTGTGTTGGCTACTGGTGGTTATGGGCGTACATATTTTTCGTGCACTAGTGCCCACACGTGTACTGGTGATGGTAATGCAATGGCTGCTCGCGCTGGATTGCCTTTACAAGATATGGAATTCATTCAATTTCATCCTACTGGCATTTATGGAGCTGGTTGTCTTATCACTGAAGGTTTGAATTAAAAATTATTATCTTATTAGTCTTCTATGAAATATGAATGATGTTTTAATTTTAGTTTCTTATGTAATATTTAGGTTCTAGGGGAGAAGGAGGTTATCTTCTAAATTCCAAGGGTGAACGCTTTATGGAACGATATGCCCCTTCAGCAAAAGATTTGGCTTCAAGGGATGTGGTTTCACGTTCAATGACCCTTGAAATTCGGGAAGGTCGCGGAGTAGGTCCTGAAAGTGATCATATATATCTGCAACTTTCGCATTTACCTGCTCAAGTTTTGCATGAACGTTTGCCTGGTATATCCGAAACTGCTGCTATTTTTGCGGGAGTTGATGTTACAAAAGAACCAATTCCAGTACTCCCGACAGTCCACTATAATATGGGTGGTATACCAACGCGATATACTGGAGAAGTAGTGACAATTGATGAAGTAATTTAATTCTCGAGTTTCAATAATTTTAATATAATTTATAATTTTAAACAAATTTATATATGTATATATATATATATATATATATATATATTTTGTAGAATGGTAACGATAAAGTTGTCCCTGGACTTTATGCTGCAGGTGAAACCGCTTCCGTATCTGTTCATGGTGCTAACCGACTTGGTGCAAACTCATTACTTGATATCGTTATTTTTGGTCGTGCTTGTGCCCATCATATTCGAGATACTCTAGAACCAGGGACACCTCATAAAGAATTACCTCCAGATGCAGGTGCCAAAACTATTGCAAATTTTGATAAACTTCGTAATGCAAATGGTCCAAAACCCACTTCTGAAATTCGCTTAAATATGCAAAAGGCGATGCAAAGAGATGCTGCCGTCTTCCGAACACAAAAGACCTTGGACGAAGGTAATTTATATAAATGATTTTTATAATGAATTAATTAGAATTAGGTTTTAAACTTTATCTTGTTCTTTTAAGGTGTTTCAAACATTGATTTAATCTGGCAAAGCTTCAAAGATGTCAAAGTCACCGACAGATCTATGATTTGGAATTCTGATTTGATTGAGACTTTAGAACTTCAAAATCTATTAACTAATGCGGCTCAGGCAATGCATTCTGCACAGGCTCGTAAAGAATCACGTGGAGCCCATGCACGAGAAGATTATAAAGTAATATTTTTAATATTTAAGAGATAGAATTGATTCACAAAAAAAAAAAAAAAAAAATTTTCTTCATTAGTTGTTCTATATTAAATTAGGAACGTCTTGATGACGAATGGATGAAGCATACACTATCTTGGCAAAATCAAGATACTGGGGAGGTCACATTAAAATATAGACCAGTTACTACTAAAACATTAGACGAAAAAGAATGTGCTAGCGTAAGTATATTTTTTATATGAATATTCCAAAAAGCGAGAATGTAAAATTAATAAAATAGAATAAAATAAAATTAATATAATAAATTAAATAAATTTTCCATTTTATATTTATAGGTTCCCCCCAAAGCCAGGGTTTATTAATAGAGAATAATTTTATTTATTTATGTCAAATCTCACTATTAAAGACAATTTTTAGAAGAAGAATAATACATAAATATAATCACACGAGTTAGAATTCTTTGTAAGCAGATAGATAACTATTTAATTCGAACCACTTTTATTTATTATACCTGCAGAAATAAAATGAGAAAGTAACAACGTTTTGCGTTCTGCCTTAAAATATATCATAGCAATAAGCTTTGATTTTTAAAGGCTTCATTACGCAATAAATTGAAATAAAAAAATAAAAATAATAATAATTGAAAAATTATACCTGAAAATATCATATTAATAATCTTTCGATCTGTGACTTGATCGCCTGAATTTGAGGTTTAAGTTCTGATGCTTCGTTACTGATTATAGAGGCAGCAATGACTGCACGAGAAACACCACATGCACGTCCCAAAGCAGTTTTAGACGGAACAAAGACGTAGGGAACATTCTTGAAAAAATTAATAGTTAAAATGAGAATTAAGTAAAAAATAATAATAATAAAAAAAAAAAAAAAAAAGGGAGAATAACCAAAGGAAAAAAAATATTATAAAAATGAAATATACTTTATCTTCACATAATAACGGTAAATGTAATACAATTTCAATTGGCTCTGTATCAGCAGTCATCACAATAAATTCAGACATACCACGATTTAATGTTTTGGTGGCTAGTATGAATGAAAGTCAAGATTAGTTATTAACCATTTTTACAATGCATTAAAAAATTGCTTGATTTAAAAATTTAATCAAATATTTACCTTCATTGGCACCTTTCTTTAATTGTTTATAATGTAAAGCTTGTTGGACAAGATCAAGTATTTGATTAGTCAAATCAGCATCAGCCAGAGGGAAAGCTTTGGGATTAACAGCGGTAGCGGCCTAAGAGAATATAAAGTAAGTAATAATAACGATGGATATATTCATTATATATATATGATATATATATGAAGTTACCATTTATAATTCTGAACCTTTCTACGTATCTTTAAATTTTATTTGAAAAATTTTTTTTATCGAGTTAATATATTAGATCAAAGTGAGCACGTGCTGATTAAATTAAATATCTGGTATCACATAAATATGTAAAATATGTAGTAAATTGTAATTATTTAATCTTGTTCTCAAAAAAAAAAAAAAAAAAAAAAAAAAGAAGCTAAAATGCGTTTAGAAAAATGCTACTTTTGTTCGTCAACCGTATATCCCGGTCATGGAATGATGTTTGTAAGGAATGATAGCAAGGTAAAAAAGAAAAATATACTGTAATAAGATTTTATAAGATTTTAAATTATTTAAAAATATATATAGATATTTCGTTTTTGTAGAAGTAAATGTCATGCAGCCTTTAAACATAAGCGAAATCCTCGTAAAGTGCGCTGGACAAAAGCTTTCAGAAAAGCAGCCGGAAAAGAAATGATTATTGTAATTGAACTTTCCAATTTATTTTATTTGATTTTATTTGATTTTACTTTATTTTGTTTAAAATTTCTGTTTATTTAATATTATAGGATTCTACTTTTGAGTTCGAAAAACGTCGAAATGTTCCTGTACGTTATGATCGTGAACTCATGAGCACTACAGTTAAAGCAATGAAACGAATTTCAGAAATTAAAGCCAAACGTGAACGAATCTTTTATAAGAACAGGTTCGGTAAACAAGTTTATTAATTAATATAAACATAATTTTTTGTATTTTAGTATTTTTTGCACTAATTTTATTTTATAAATTTTTTATATTATGCATAAATATAAATATTTTAATAATTATTGCAAAAAAATTATTACAGAATGTCTGGTAACAAAGAACTTGAGAAGGCAGATAATATCAGAGAAATTCAACGTCATATTGAACTTGTCGATTCTCCTTCAGCAAAAATTAAAGCACAAGTTGCCAAAATTCCAGAGAAAACACAACGTATTGAAATGGATACATCTTAATAAAGAAGATTTTCGGAATGATGTGGCTTTAACAGACCCCTTTAAAAATATTATCACGTGAATTTCACATGAAACATGTGAAACTGTAATGCAGATAATCAGAGAACCAAATAAATGAAAATATGAAATGTCATTAGAAATAATACTTCTCCTTTATTTCTATATTTATAATAATTTTCTGGTAAATTTTAACTTTACAAATAACAAAATAAAAATAAAAATAATAAAAATAAAAAAAATAAAAATAAAAATTATTATTATTCATTATTATTACTATCATTATCATTATCTTTATTTATCATTGTTTATCATTATTGACCCAAATTTAGAATAGAGGAATTAAATTAACACATAACTATTAATGCTATTAACCTTGTTGCAATTTGTGAAATTTGACTCCGAAACAATTTCGGATATAAACAAGAAAAAGTCCGAATAAATGCAAAAATAAGCCGAGTTGCATAATCATCATTCATTATTTATTTTATTTATTTTATTTATTTTTATTATTTTTTATTTACACGTATTAACATATTTTACATGAATTTTTCTCTTTCAATATACTTTCATTGATTACTATAACCAAGACGTGCACCGTGTCACCAACGAGATTCACTGCATACTTTTTTTGCATATTTTGTATTCATATAAATTTACTACGATTTACTTGATCAACTTAATTTGTTAATTTGACGCGCCTATAATTTTATTTTGACACAATATTTTGAAAATCTATATAAACTATATAAAGACTTATAGATTGACAAATTTTGTTTATTTTAAACTCTTCCTAAATCTTATTTGAAATTTACTTTCTCCACGACATATTTCTTTGCTCCACGACATATTTCTTTGGCAACGAGAAAATTATTATTGTTTATTAAATAAAAAGTTATCTTAAGGTAGTGAATTTTAAATATTCTTGTTAATTGTCTTTTATTCATCGCGTGACAACGCGTCGAAAAAAGTTTGCTTTACCATATTTTTAAAAATTTACTTCGCGTGAACTTCATAAATAAACTATATGTAAACTGTGTAAACATTTAATAAAGTTAGAACAAGGTTATTTATTTTATTAATTTTGTAATCTTAATTATTCTTTCAGTACAATATTCGCCAATATGAGCGATAATCTTGACCAAGTTGAACCCGTAAGTTTATTTATACCCTTCATTTGTAATGCTTTTAAGTTTTCAATAATTTTTATTTTTATATATAATTTATAATTCGGCCTACTTATTATTCGTTTTTATTAATTTATTATTATTTTTTTTTTTCGTCATTTCGTCATTTTTTGTCATTTGTGTTAAAAATTCTTTCGTTTATATAGGCCTCAAACCCTCCAGATTGGATGAATAACATTATGCGGGGTATCTATGAAAGATTCCCTGATGAAAAAAACTTCGAGGTGGTCCGTATAAAAAATATTACTGATGAATCCAACGCTTATCGAATTAAATGTAACGACTGTATAAGGCTTTTCATTATACGGAAAGGCCAAGTAAACTTTGCTAATCATTTAACAACAAACATTCACACTAAAAATAAAAATTCACGTTCTAAACACAAGGCCCAGGAGGCCATAAGTAATGTTTTCGAACAAAATTCTCTTGTGGCTGAAACAGACAAGGAGAATAGTTTAAACGCAAATCGTAAACGACTACGTTCACCTCTCATGAAACCAGAAACACGGGAAACCATAGAGTATAAAACTTATATTATCGAATTTCCTGAATTTCTTAAATTTCTTGAATTATCTATTAAGTCCATTTCTTTCTAATTATTGAATTTCTCTAATTTGAAACATAGGATTCAAGACAAGCGGCCTAAACTTGCGCCACTCATTGATAATAATAATAATAATAACTGGAATTTGGGTATAAAAAATAGTTCGTTTATAATGAATAATTCTATTAATATTATGAATATATGACCAACTCATCCTTCATTGTCTCATTTTATTTCAGGAATTCGTTTTGAAGAAAGCACTGATAATATTGATAATATTGATAATAATATGATGGCTGATTACTCGATCAGCCGTGAAGTATCAAACTTATCAACTTTGTGCATGCCGTTTAATCTTATCAAAATTGATCAAAATTTGGACTCAAACGAACCAACCGATCTTGAAAGCCAAACATTATATCAATCATTTTATCCACCTGAAAATTCACAATTATTGCCTAGTACATATGAATATAATTCTCAGTCACTGCCTGGTACATATGAAAATTCCCAACCACTACCTAATACATATAATTCCCAACCACTGCCTGGTACATATGAAAATTCTCAGCCACTGCCTGGTATATATGAACATTCCCAACCGCTGCATGAAAATTCCCAAACATATGTAAATTCCCAATCACCACCTGGTGCATATGAAAATTCTCAATCACTGCCTGGTACATATAATTCCCAGCCACTTAGTACATATGAAAATTCCCATACATATGAGAATTCCCAACCACTACCTGGTATATATGAAAATTCCCAATCCCAATCTGAGATTAGTTCTTTTGATTCATCCAAAAATGTTCAACCGCATCATGAGCTGTACGAAAATAATCGATCTCCGATTGAAGCTCATGAAGATGAGCAATCGCTACTTGAAACCTATGAAAATGCTAAATCACTAAATGAGACTTATGGAAATCAATCACTACTTGCGACCTATGAACATTCACTACTTGAGACATATGAAAATGCTCACCTTCAGCCTGAGATTTTTGAGAATGCTCAACCGCAACCAGAAACTTATGAGACTTACGAAAATCCAACTTACGAGAATGCTCAACCGCAACCTGTGACCTATAATGTTGTTCAAAATGTTCAAAATGCTCTACCTCAACTTGAAACAAATTCTTTTGATGCTATCCAGAACGAGGATTTTAAATATGAAACAGATTTTATATCATTACCGGAACAACTTGTTGCTATTCAAAATGGTAATGTCAAATCCGAAGCGGATCAGGATTATGTTGATGCTACAATTGATAAGAAATTTGAGATAGAATCCGAATGCGATGTTATTGATTTGACACATGATGATCCAGAAGTTAGTTCAATGTCTAATTTAATAAAAGAGGAAGAATCAAAAGAAGTTGATGTTATTGATCTGACAATTGATGATATAGATTCAAAAGAAAACCTATCATCTAATTTACATAAGGTTGAAATAGATGTAAAATCCGAAGAAAAAGTTAAAATCGAAAATGAAATAGTAGCTCAATCTTCACACAGTGGCTTCGTTGCAGCTTCATCTTTACCTAGCAGCTTATCTTTACAACGTGGCTTCGTTGCAGCTTCATCATCTATGTCAACCACTCAACCGATACCACAAATGTGGCAGCGTGGTGGAACGACACATTCTCGAGATTTTCAAGAATTACTGCGACTGATCCCATTAAATGAAACGAAAGATGCTCCTATCGAAGAAGCAATGCATAAAATAAATGCTCCTGATGGACAAATTGATGGTATGACGATAAAATTAATGGACCATCAAGTACTTGGAGTTTCTTGGATGGTAGAAAACGAACAAAAGGATAATAAAGTGAAAGGTGGCATATTGGCTGATGATATGGGTCTTGGAAAGGTACATTTTGAACATTTTTATTTTGAGATTAATTTATCACAAAATGAAATTTTTAATGAATAATATAATTATTTTCTATATAGACTGTTCAAACCATTGCCACAATGGTTTTAAACCAGCCACAACAAATTAAATCTAATAAAGTGAAATCAACATTAATTGTAGCACCAACCGCTCTTATCCATCAATGGAAGAATGAGATTTTAAGTAAAACCGATCGAGGTACGATTAATACAAAAAAAAATAATAACAATAATCATCGTTGATCAATTTATTAATTTTATTAAAATATTGTTTATCATAGAAATGTTCTCAATACATGTATATCACGGATCAGGTAAAGCTCGGTTGAGTCAACTTAAAAAATATGATGTTGTCATTACGACATATCATACATTAATTCGGGATTGGCCAGCGGATCCCGATGTGCCGAGGGTATGTTTTTAACCATTGAGATATTATAATTATGTTTTATACTAAAAGATTTATACCTAACAACATGAAATCAATTATTTTTAGGGCACTTTATTCCGAATAAATTGGTTCCGAGTGGTACTAGATGGTAAATATATTTTTTTCTTATTGTTTTTTTTTTAAAAAAAAATATACGAGTGATGATGTTCTGAAACTTTAATACTTTTTATTATATTACGGATTTATAGAGGCCCAGAATATTAAAAATATGAAATCACGTGCTAGTAAAGCTTGTGCCGAATTAAATACAGTTCATCGTTGGTGTCTAACAGGTAAAGCTACACGATATAATTAAATTAAGTGTTAATGAAATTTAAAATTAATTAAATTAGTTATTAATTTTATATTTTTTCTTTTATATGAACATAAAAAGGAACACCAATTCAGGTAATAAATTTATTATTCTTTTTAATATAATTAATAGATTTAACATTCGATACTGATGTTTTGCTTAATTTTTATAATTTTCTATATAGAATCATATCAATGATCTCTATTCATATTTCCGGTTTCTTAATGTCACCTGGTATTCTGAATGGACGAATTTCCATCGAGAAATTAGTCCTGCGAATTCTAGTTCCATGAGAAAAGTACAGGCCATTCTTCGGGGTATTTGTTTGCGTAGAACGAAAGATTCTACACTAAACGGAAAACCTATCTTGCAACTTCCGGAAAAAATTGTTGATATGGTAACCAACGAATTTTCTGAGGACGAAAGACAATTTTATGATGCGGTAAGTTCTTTAAAAAGAATTGATTGATATATGACAATATTATAAACTCAAATTTGATATTAAATCCCGTTTTTCTTGTTTTCTTCCGATTTAGCTTGAAACAAAATCACGAATAGAGTTTAATCGTTATTTGAAAGACGGGAGTGTGCTAAAGAATTATGCGTATATTCTTGTTATGTTACTTCGTTTGCGTCAAGCGTGCAATCATCCTTTCTTGTGAGTTATTTTGATTTTTTTTTTTTGAGTTTTAATTATTGTTTAACATCAATATTTATTTTAATTTAGAACGCAAGAGGATATCGGTGATGTTATTTCGAAAACTGGAACATCAAAACCAAATCTTGAAAATGATCTTGCACACGCAAAGCGTGTTTTGCCCACGAAAACCTACGATCAATTGATTGAAAATCCTTCTAATAATGAGTGTCCCATTTGTTTTGACGTGTAAGGTTTCCATTTTTAATGATGAGTCATTATTATCATTTTTATTATTCCTAACAGTTCACGATACATTTTAGTATTGACAATGGTGTCGTGACTTTATGTGGCCACATTTTCTGTCAAGGTAAAGGCTATTTAATTTATTTGCATAATTTTTTATCGAATACATATTAAAAATTTCATCTATTTTTTTTTAGAATGTATTGATAGTGTATTTCAAGGAGAGAATCACGAAGGTAGTGACTTTGAAGACCGTCGATGCCCTATTTGTCGTCATGTAATTAAGTAAGTTAGATCAAAATGAATGTAATGAACAAGATCCATACTTTATTCTCCTACACAAATATTTAACCATAATCTATTAACATGATCGAAATTTAGGGAGGATAATTTAGTTAATATAAATGTATTCAAACAAAACGCTAAACGTGCAGAGATGAGTGATGATAATAATAATAATAATAATACCGGACTTCCGTCATTTATCAACACTTTAATATCACCTGGTCGAAGATCAAATACTGAAGGCAATGAAATTCAAAATTGCGATGGCAATGACAATGTATTTGCGAATCCACAAACAGGATCTTTCATATCCTCTACTAAAATCGATCAACTATTGAAAGAACTGGCTGCAGGACAGCGAGAAGATCCGGGAACAAAGACTATTGTGTTCTCTCAATGGACTTCGATGTTAAATTTGATAGAGGATCTTCTTATTGAGGCTGGATATAAATTCAGCAGAGTATGTTATAAAATTTTATAACAATATAATGTATTTTTGTATATCTTTTACTTTTTTTTTATTGACTTTACAAATATTATTTGTAGTATGATGGCACAATGGACACTGGAGCACGCGACGAAGCAATTCAACAACTATCTCATGATCCAGATACCCTTATTATGCTTGTATCTTTGAAAGCTGGCGGTGTTGGACTCAATCTTACCAAAGCAAATCGAGTCATTATGCTTGATTGTTGGTGGAATCCTTGTAAATATTTTCGAATTTTTGGAATTTGAAATATTTAAGTTTATTTTGGAATTTATTAAATTTATTAACTAAATTAACTAAATTTTTTTCGGATTTTCCTAAAATGAATCTAATAATAGCCGTCGAAGGTTAGTTGAAATATTCTTTTATCATATGTATACTTTGGTTTGATATTATAAAAATTATGATTTAATAATTTATTTTTATTATTATATTTATAGATCAAGCTGTTGACCGTGTGCATCGAATTGGTCAATTCAAAAATGTAATAGTGAAAAGATTGACAATTAAAAATAGTATTGAAGATCGTATTTTAATTTTGCAAGATAAAAAGGTAATTAATTCTATCGATTTCTATTTAGTTCATTTATTATTATTACATATATAAAATTTAATTTAGTAATATTCTTTTAATCATAACAGCGTCAATTGGCTGCTGGTGCACTTGGAGAAGGTAATGCACGAGTTGGTCGACTTACAGTTAACGATTTAATGTTCCTTTTCAATCAACGTTAAAATGGGTAAAAAAAAATAAAATAAAATAAAAATGGTTGAGGTGAATATGACGATTTGGGCATTACAATTATAATATAGTTTTATATCAATAATAATAATAATAATATATATATATATATATAATGATGATAGTCTTATAGATTAATTTAGAATATTGCATAATGATAAAAAAAATAGTTACAATAATATAATTTTAAAAAATTTTGATGAGGAATAATATATATATTTCTGTTAAAATGTAGATAGAATTAATTTCAATTCATTCATTTTTCATATTCATCATCAAAATCATCAAATAAACTTCAAATATTGCATATGATTTATATAATTTTATATTTAAAGTTAAGTTTTGAAAATCCTTGTTGACATAATTGTACATTAATGCTCGCTTCTATAATTAGAAATATATAAATTTCATTTTTCACGTGATATTACTAATACAAAAAGGATCTCCCATCTTGCATATAACTTTAAAAACTTTAAACGATTGGATTGGATTCTCGAGAAAATAAAAATTTCCTAAATTTCTTAAATTTCCTTTCTTAGCGGTCTTAAACTTTAATTAAATCCCTTTATTTTTATTACCTATTTGTATTATTTTTTTTTTTCTTGATGGTTGACCCTTTATTATGTTCATTGAGTCAATGCATAATTGACGAAATAAAATTTCCAGGTAATGCATAATTTATATTATTTTGATTATTTTATTACTTTCATGAACTAAAAGTAAATTGTTTTCATTTAATTAGATGGAACTATTCAAAGGGATCTTTTGGGTGGTGGGGGCGTTTACGCTACTTATGGTATCAATTTCTAAAAATTTTTCTGTAAAATTTAGTTGATTTGTTTTTTTATCGTAAAATTGAATAAAATTTTTAAAATTTTTATAATTTTTGTTTGAAATTGAAAAAAAAAAAGGAATGAGACTTTGGTTTCCATCACAAGAAGCTCAAAGAATAGGATACGCATTTCATGCTGGTTACGATTTTCCGATACATATTTTACAAAACATGTTGGCACTTAATATCTCTTTAACTCAAATATGGCATTCAAATTTACCATCTATTCGTGGATTAAATACTTTTAAATCAACTGATCAACGTATATTTGCTTATCTAACTCCCCCAATAGGAACTGTTCCAGCAGATTTACCAAGTTCATATTTAAATGCCAAAGTATTTCATTTTATTTGTTCAGCGAATTGGGCTATACAACATGTTACAGAAATTTTACGATTACGTGACAAAAAATTACCATTACCTAAATTTGTTTGGGAACCTATACCTGATTATGTATCTAAAGAAAATATGCAATCATGTATAGAAGCTATGAAGATGGTAGATGTATTATCACCCAATCATGAGGAAGCAGCGGCTTTATTAGGATTAATTACTGATGAAGAAGATGAAAGATTTTTAACTGATGAAATGTTAATATTAATGGCTGATAAGTTTCTAGCTTATCCTATTGGACCACAAGGAAACGGAAGTGTAATTATTCGTGCATCATATAAAGGATGTATTGTGGCTACTAAAGAAAAAAAAGAAATAATACCAGCTTATTGGACAAAACTTAAAGATGGTAGTAGGAATCCTCACGTAGTTGATGTTACTGGTGCAGGAAATGCTTTTTGTGGAGGATTTATGGCAGGATTACTTAAATCTAATTTTGATATATTTGAAGCCGCATTATACGGTTCAGTTAGTGCATCATTTATTGTTGAACAACTTGGTACACCGAGAATTTTCATTGATGAATTAGGAAATGAACGATGGAACACTGGAGATAGTCCACAAGTAAGATTAAGTAAATTAAGACAACGAGTTAAAGAAAAACTTAAAGAAACGTTAAAGGTAAAATTAAAAGAAAGAATTCAAGAAAAATTGAAACAACGAAGTCAAAATGGTATTGAAGAAGATGAATCTGGTGAAATTATTAAAGATGATATTAAAAATCTTGATCAAAAAGATATTTTCGATAAAGAAAGTATTAGTGATAGTATGAGTCCAGCCGATTAAATTGATTAAATTATTTATAAATATATTTGTATGAATTGTATTTAATGTTCCATTTATTTTTATTTATTAAGGTATATAATAATTTCAGATAATTCTAATAAATTTTGTACTCCCCTTCTTATGGAGATTTTAAGTTATAAATAACATTAATATATAGTTTTATTAAAATAATCTAAAATGAATTTATTTATTATTTATTTATCAGGACGTGTAGTAGGATCTAATCCAATACTTTTCATCTTTACTGAAATCTCAAATAAATAATCATAACATTCTGACATTGTCTTTGCTTTTTCCCAAGTTTCTTTTTAAAAATATAAAAAATTATAGAATAAATAAATTAAATTAAAAATAATTGAATAAATAAAATTATATTTAATAAAGATTTTATTTACCTCCCCAAACATAAACACCGTGACGACGCACAAGAACAGCATTGGTGTCGGGATAAATTTCCATCACCTAATTTAAAAAAAAAATAATAATAATAATAATAATAATAGATATATCATGCAATTATTACAATTACTGTATGATTTGTGAGCTCAATAATAGAGCGTATAAAATCATATAGTGATAATTGCACAATAAATAAGTTCGGTTAAAGACATTTTGTAGTAATAATTTATTATAATTTCATTATGTTCAAAATTCATACCTCAGCCATTTTTTCCGTTAAGTCTTCTTCAAATGATGTATTTTCTATGATTGGAACTATTAAAGTGTCCTGATAATCCAAATATTGATCTCCACTTCCACGTTTAATCCCCTTAATCATTTCTTGATGAGTAATTTCAAATGTTTCTCCAGTAAACAATAAAGTCGCCATAACAGCATTTTGTGAGTGTGAATGAATACATGCACCAGCATTACGCAATGTGTAAGAATTATAAAATAATGGTGTACAAGCAGAAGGACGATACATTTCAGGTGCTCGAAGTATTTTACGAGTAGAAAGTGTAAGAACAAATATATCGGATGGTCGCATTCGTTCTTTTTGAACACCTGAAAATATATATAAATATAAAAATATATAAATATATAAATATATAAATATATAAATATGTAAATATATAAATCTAAATATTTGCATGAATTTAAAAAATAATTCTAGACCAGTAAACTTTTTTTATTAATATTTATACCTGAAGGAGCAATATAAATGAAATCACTAAATATAAAGAATTATATTATATTATAATTAATTAATTCATATAAATATATATATATTATAATTTATATATTAATGTCATTTTGACTTACTCTTTACGAATAGAAATTCCACCTCTAATATTGAATATATATGAGAAATTGTAAATAATAATAATAAAAAATGTATATGAATTCTCACCCTGTTCCTGTAACCCAACCTAGGTTATAAAGTTGTTTACACAACTCTGGAATAAGGTTTGCTGGATGTAATGGATCATTTGATAAAACTAATTCGTCGGCATTCGAGTTCATGTTTATATTGAAAAAAAATACTTAAAATATGAGATAATCTAAATACTGAAATAATATAGATAAATTAGATAAAATAGATAAATTGATGTGTTCTCTTTTCAACAAATTAAAACTTATAACTTAACAGCAAATGGACGGTATGTTTGATATTTAACGAATTTTTTTTTATAAATTAATTAATTATTAACTTCTTACCTATATATCTTTATCAGCTAAAGCTTATGACGCGTTAGAAAGACGCCGATTGAAAACGGGTCACAATAGTTTTGATCATTGGTCTAAATTTTCTTGTCATTTTTATTTTGTCACGTCGATTTTTCTTTAATTATAATATCATTATAATACAATTATTATATTACATTATTATAATACATTATTACATTATTATAATACATTATTACATTATTATAATACATTATTATATTTATTACATTTAGGTACGAGTATTATTTCGGCGATACACGCGAGGAAGAAATTACAAGAACATTATGTGATAACGCTTTTGAAGCCTTGTAAGTAGAATTAATTGATTATAATGCAATTTAAAAATTAATTAACCTTAACTTAATTTTCTAGGCATCGAAAATATTTCAATGATAATGACGATGATATAAGTAGGCTACGTCAACATAAATTTGATGAGTTGTAATATATAATCATTTGATTTCTTGTGAATTATTACAATTAAGTCTTTACTATCTCGTCTAAATTTTCTAAAATAAATCTTCATTAACATAGATACATGAATCGTTCTCACTCAATTGGTCAAGATATGTCTTTTCCCTCCCCAGTTTCAAATTCATGGATTGAAGTGTACAAATTTAAGAATAATATGGATAATGTCAATTCGGTCAATATATTTCCTGAAACACATGAATTTAAGGATAATGTTAATTCAGTCAATACATTTCCCGAAACATATGAAATTGCTCAAGAATTACATGAATTACATGAAGAAATATCAATTGACAAACTTTCAAGTTCTCAGAAAACTATTACCCCAAAGGAGAAACAAACGAAAATCATCGAGTTAATCGATGAATCAACCATACAAAATGAAGTTAAAGGTACAAAACGAAAAAAACTCAAGGTCTGTCGTCCAAGAAAATCATCATCAACTTAAAGAGAGGTATCAAGATGAATTATGAAAATAGCTATCATTTTAATGCTTGAGGTTACCAAAGTATAGTCGATGAAATAAAAATCTATAGAATTGAATTAGAAATCGGCTTAGATGTCATTGTTGTGCCGTTGTTGTGCTATTGTTGTTGTGCAGTTGTTGTGCCATTGCGCCATTGCTGTGGCGTCAAAGTATTTTCTTTTGATAAGAAAAACAAGCCATAGCAGTGGCGCAATGGCGCAGTTAAATTGGATTCTTTGTACTGCTATAAAAATATAGATACATTATACACTTAGTCCAGCAATTATCTTACATTAAAATTTCCTGGTGACAATTCTTTAAACGCTTTCCATAATAGGAAGGTCAAAGATTTAAGTTTAATACTTCTCAAATGCCCAGGTGTGAGAGGTGAAGAATAAGAAAAATTTAGTTTATTTAGTTTATTTACACTGGTCAAAAGAAAATAAAATTGACCAGTATTTTAATGCAACTTGTAAAATGTTGAATGGAGAAATTTGTTAATTCTATTAATTCTATTAATTCTTTTAAATCTTATTAATAAACTTGTCAAAACCTGAATTTTTTTGTTAAAGATCTCAGATGCAAAATATATTTATCATATACATTATAACAAAACAAGAATTTACTTGAATTTGATTTATTTGAATTATAAAGTGGATATTATTTGTTAGAGATGTATGCATAATCATTTTTTTTTCGCATTTAAAGATCAAATTTGTTTTTTTTTCACACTGTTTTTGATTGTCTATGAGATAAAGGCTGATTATTTTATTATTTTATTGTTTATAAAAAATAAATTTTCAATTTAATGATCTCCATTACACATGTACATTTTCTCGCGTGGCTTGTATTTAGAAAAGCGGGACATTTAAATATTCAAGGCTTTGCCTGTAATAAATCTTTTGATACAAACTTATAATAAATGATTGGTTTGAAGAAATGATTAAGGCGCGGCTTTGGCTATGATTTCAGGCTTATTAAATAAAATAATAAGGCTATGCTTGTGTCAACGGGAAAGTGGGAAGCTTGCTGATCGATCGAGATAACTTCCCAATTATTAAACTTCTTGTCTCCCCCCGGATTTAGATCAAGGAAGTACTTAATCATTGTTCCGATTATTTAATTGATAGTCGTAAAACATTTCTGGTAAAGCGGCTTGGGAACCGTGTAACGTTTCTCAAAAAGTTCATCGATTTTGGTAATGAAAATTCTCCAACTTTTTTTTTTCGGTTTTCTTCGCCCTTCTAATTCTGACATTAGTCAAAACCCTCTCGTGAGCCATTCTCGTCGGCGTCACACGAATTATAATCCTTCATTGAAATTTTCGCAAAATTGTGAAAATGGAACCAGAAGAATCAAAGACGCCGAGTGAATCTTTGCAAACCGTTCCCATTTATCAATTAGACGCGTCGTCCTCTGATAGTGAATCTGATGAGCCAAGTCGTAGTTCAGCTCCAGTAGGAGCAACATTACAACCGCCATCCGGTGTACCAACACAATCAATATTGTCTCATAGATCACCAGTAGTACCTCCACAACGTTCATACACGACTCCAATCCCTCGTCACGAACGACAGACTTCGGAGATATCAATGGTTGCGGAATCGGTACAAACTAGACCTAGTATGGATGATGATTATTTATTTGATGAAGAAAGTACTAGTGAAGAAGAACAATCTCCAAGACAAGCTAGATTAACTGTTCCAACGGGTCCTCCTAATGTTCCAGTATTAATCGAAAGTCCTACTCCGCAATATGAAACTCGGAGTTCAACAGATGTTCCCGAAATGCCTACAATAGTTGAATCTCGTGGTTTAATACCATTGTCATTATTAAGTGAACCAATAAGGCCAAGTCGACATGATCCATCTCATGAGAATAATGAGAAAAGTACTCATCGACAAAGTTTGGAACAACCACAAAAAGGTTTGTCTAAAATTTATTAATTTATAATATATGTCATTGACATTTGTATTTTATACAGAAAAGAAACATTAATGAATTAATTCAGATAAATTATTGGTATTATTATTTTGGCCAATCTATCTAAATTTTTAAAGTTATAATGTGCAATTAGATGAGAGCCTTTCAATTTAGAAGATTTAAAGATAGCACAATATCTATGCAATTATTTTTAGATTGAAATATTTTTTTTTTGATTTATATTTATTTGGGAAACTTCCGCAATTTTCTTTAATTTAGGATATGAACATACACGTGGAATATCAAAAGAGGGAGGCCCACCTCCAGAACGTAGATCAAGAGAAGAAAACATATATCATCATCACCGTGAGTCATCAGATCTTTTACCATTGACTCTTGTTGATCGAGGTGGGGGTGGATTAACGTTCTCAAATAATTATGCATACCTTTCCCCTCCATTTGGTCGTGTCCTAACTCGTAAGCAAATTATGGCCCGAATCTCATGGTTTTCTCAATTGGCAATATTTAATATTGTATATGCATTTTACAAGTTGAGCGAAGATAAAACTACAACTAATCTTATTGGATTAGTGATTTTACCAGCAATATTCTTTATTCTTTATATTATATTTGTTACAGGATTGACATATATAGATCTCAAAAAAAAAGGATATGACTCGGCATTTACTATTATATATTATTCTCCTCTAATGTTGTTTTCATTGTTTTTTGATGAAAAAAAACGTGTCGACGCATCAAAATTTCATGAAGTTAATTATGGTGCAAAATGGTGGCGAATAGGAACAAGCAACTTTAGAGAAGGTGTCATAATGACCCTTTATTGTTCATCTATAATTGCATTCGTCATATCAGATCTTGTTAGTAGAGCAGTAAACCAATCTAATGCACAAGTTTCAGAAGTATTTAATGATTTTGTACCTTTCTTCTTTATGCTGGTTGTATTCGCTTTTGGATTCATAACATCTATTTGGGCGGTAGTGGAAGCTATCGTTGCAGGTACTATGCATGGTAGTGGAGAAGGGCGAAAGAAGTTGGTTGGTGTACTACCAAATGCTTTCATAATTAGGAGGTGATAAATGACAAAACATTTGTGACCATTAGGATTGAGTTTTTATTTATTTATTTTTTACTTTATTTTTTATTTTATTTTTTATTTTATTTGATAGGAAGGAAAACTATTATTACTTTAATTCATTTAGAATTAGATTTCATTTGTTATCTTAGGGATTTTTTTTTTCAAAAAAAAAAAAAAAAAAAATCACCAACACCTGTTAATAGTAATTTCTTCCGCGATCAAATTTTTGCATCGAGATAACAATTCATTTACATTTGATATGCACTTTTCTTTACATTGAATATAATATATCCTTGTAAGATATGTATTTTGTATTTAAAAAATTTATATTGTAATAAAGAATTTGAAATCATGACAATATTTTTTGCGAAGTCAAGATTTAGTAGGTTTAGTAGATTCAGAAACTTTTACTTTATCGTTCTCTGGTTCATTTTTTTCAATTTTATCTTCATGTTCCAACTTTTTTTCCATTTCTTTCACTAATATATCAGCCATTTCCTTCACGACAGTTCGGGAATCAATTCCTTCCATGCGTCCTACATCTTCTAACATTCTTCTTTCTTTCTTACCTTTAGCTTCTTGTAACATTTTCTGTCCCACCCCTAATTCTTCCCATTCCCAAAGTGTGACTCTCATACCAATTCCTGGTGGACAATTCTTAGTTAAATACCATAACCATCTTTCTACTACTTCTTTATTAGTATCTCGAATAGCTAATAATCTTTTATGAGTTTTACGTTCAAAATTTTCTTGAGATTTTTTATGAACAAATGGCCCTTTTATTACTGTCCAATGTGATGTTTGAGTTGGCAAATATACAGCACCGGAACATGGCATTTTTAATGCATGCGCAGCACGTCGAGCAAAATCTAAAAAAAAATCCATAGGTCCAGGGACATAAGAACGAAAATGCAAATGACAAACTACTATTCCATGTGTAGGTTTAATCCTAGCTGGTTCTAATTATTATGATTATTGATAATATTGAATTATTAAAATAATAATAATAATAATTTTATGAAATTAATAATTTGAATGCAGTATATTGATGCATACCTAAAAATACAGGATCCAAAGGTTTTTTATCTAGATCTCTAAATTCTCCTTCATGAGTTAATGGTGGTAAAGTCTTCGATGAATAATTTTTTACATTACATTTAGATATTTCTCTAGGTTCTTTCCTAACATATATTAATATATATAATATATATGATGTAGTGATTATATTTAGATTCGAATTTTAATTAATTTATTAAAGAAAATTTTTTGTTAATAAATTCTTCTGTGATTTTTACGCAAAAAATCCATGATTATCATAATTATTTAGTATTCTGAGAAATATAGGATTTCGATATATCAAGAAATTCTATTTAATTTATTGTTTAATTAGTTATCAATAATAATAATAATAATGACATGAAAGAAAAAAATAAAAAAATAAAAAAAATATATAGTTATTGTGCACATTAAAATATAAATCTTACATTTAAATGAATTAAATTAAGTTTTAATTTTATGGGATTAATTGAAACAAACATTTGAATTTCTTTGACAAGAATTTTTTTGTCCCAATGCATGTACAATATTATATATATATTTCTTGAAATCTGGTGTGACCACAATTATTAATCACGTGCAAATCGGTTAATATTATTGATAATTATCGTTAAACAGGAATTCCTTTTAACACAAATACAATTCTAAATATAATTTTATAAGAAAAATAAAACTTTCAATAGGTTACAATTTACAAAATTGGGTGAAAGAAGAGAAAGAATAATTTGGAGAGATGATGAATGGATGAAAATAAAATAGCAAATCATAAATTAGTACACTAATTTAATAATTTGTTCAATTTTCATCAAAACCCTCTCCTAATGTTTTCTAAAAATAAATATGGCAATATCGAAAAAAATTGAATAAAATTTGTGAACTATCCAAATCGAAATTGCGCTCCATGAGCGTAGCTACTTGATCTCTGCCTTGGAAAATCCCGTGATGGATTAAATCCAAAATTTCCTTGAAAAGAACTTCTTGAATTACCACCCATACTACTTGCAAGGTTTTCACCCATAAACATTTGAAAGAATAAATTGGGATCAACTCCATCAAAGTCCATTCCGCCATTACCCATGCCCTCAAGATCAACACCGGAATCGTATCGTTGTTTTTTTACTGGATCGCCAATAATAGCATAGGCTTCTCCGATCTCTTTGAATTTGACTTCGGCCTCTGAATCACCACTATTCTTATCCGGATGATGCTGAAGTGCTAATTTACGATATGCCTTTTTAATATCAATTTCCGATGCATCTCTTGACACACCAAGGATTTTATAATAATCCTTTCTAGATGCCTTTTTCAATTCTCGTTCTGCATTGTGCAAATCTCGTCGAATTTCTTGATTACTGCTATCAAGTTCTAATGCTGCTTTCAAATCGTTCACAGCTTCTTGATATTTTTCTAATTTTAAATATGCATCAGCACGTCGACGGAAAACTTTAATAAATGTTGGATCTAGTTCTAATGCCTTGTCCATATCATTTATTGCATCCGTATATTTTCCTTGTTTCATTAAAACCAAAGCACGATTTGAATAGATTTTTGAACTTGTATTGACATTTTTGGGGTCTATCGCAAGAGCTTTAGTATAAAGATCATATGCTCCGTTAAAGTCTCCTTTTTTGTAGGCTTCGTTACCTGCATTTTTTTGTGCTTCGATTTGTCGAGATTTCTTTTAAAATAACGAGGTTACCATTAATAACAACAACAACAACAATAATAATAATAATGTGAATTAAATTCAAATACATATATTATTTTCATACCCTTAATAAAATACGGGCTTTTGAATGGTCAGGGTCGCAACGTAAAGCTTCTTGGCAATGAGCTACAGCCTTTTGATTATCGCCTTCCATGTATAGTATTCGTGCTCTTAATACATGGGCATCTGGATTTTGAGAATCAGTACGTAATATCTCGCTAAAGAATAAATAATTCAGAATAAATGATTAAATAATTTGATATTAAAAATGACATCGCTGTTATTTGTCACATTTGTTTATAAATGATTATTTAACAATTACCAATGAAATAAATAATGAAATAAATAATTTTTCTCACTTTGCCATCCTGCCCGCTTCGTCATAAATTTTTTGCTCCAATAAAGCTTCACCTTTCATTATTTTCCATTTTGTAGGAATCTCTTCTAAGGAAGCAGTTGCTCTGTCAATAGAATTCAAAACCAATCCATATTGACCATTTTCTAAATGTACTTCTGCAAGGTGAATATAATTTTGAACTTGACGTAATTGTTTAAATTCTGAATTTGCTACTACATTTGTTGGATCTTCCAACAGAACTTTTGTATACCATCGTTCCGCCTCTGAAAGATTACCGAGTGTAAAGTTACACTTTGCACGACGAAGTAATGCTTTGATTGATGATGGGTCTAAAGATAATGCACTTTGACAATCTTTAAGTGCATCTTTTGGTCTTCTTAACATCAACAACGCAGCAGCGCGATTGGTATAATAAGTTGGACACGCGGAATCGAGTTCTGTGATGAAATGAATATAATTAATAAATATATTGAATATATATCTGAATTATATGAAAATTAATATTAAAAATTTACCAATTGCTTGGGTATATAATTGAACGGCTTCTTCATAATTTCCCAATTTATAATGTTCGTTGGCGTGTTCTTTTAAATCCTCTGCTGAGGTAGACCTTATAAATAGAATCATTAATATAAAATCATTAATGATATATTAATTAGAGAACATAAATTTTTCACCATTCTAAGAATTCTTGTCCAAAATGATAAATCTATGTAGAAAATATAGTGTGCAAACGACATATTATTAAAATATATGAAATTATTTCCTATGGTTTCGAAGCGGTATGATGCTCTGGCTATCGTTATGGGACCGATGACTAACGTATAAAAAAATTCTTTTTATTCTATCTGGGGGAACTTGTAAAGTGAAAACTAAAGGTTTTTCGGAACTAAGCTCTGATTTTATTGGGAAAAAAAGGTCATAAAAGGTATAGAAATGTATAAAGAAATCCTTTGGGAAAGTTTTATTTAAATACTGACGCAGTTTTGAGGAAACGATTACTTTTTACATCGTCGTCTCTACCCACCTCCCTAAAACGAACGAAACTAGTGGAAAGTACTCACATCAACTCGTCATCGTGTAAATCGTTGTACATATTTTAAACCTTAATTTTTCTCTGGTATTAAACGATCTAGTATTTTAGTATTTTTCGATAAATATAAAAAAAAAAGCAATCAAACATTGAACCCCCCCTTTTTTGGGATGGGTTGACATCAAATCGAAATACGTGGAAAGACGTAGAAGTTTTTTAAATATTTAATAGTACCTAATTTTTTTTTTATATATATTATCTAATTTATATATTATATTTTTATATATGCTATTCTCAGGTGATATTCTTTCCTATTGGAGTATGAGGGACGAATATCGATCATATGTATGTGATTAAAATTTGGTTTATCTTATAATTTAATAAATCTTAATAGCGATGTTCGGCCTTCGTGGCCAAGTGGCTAAGGCGCCGCTCTCGTAAAGCGGAGATCGTTGGTTCAAATCCGACCGGAGGCTGTTTCTTTTTCTAAAATCACACAACTCACTCTATTCACTTTTGTTTTTTAACAATAATTATTCAAAAGAATTACAAATGATAAAGAAATTAAATGATAAGAGACTTGAATTTTTTTTTTTTTTTTCCCAAGGCTTACCATTATTATTATGATAGGTGATATCAGAAAATATTTTTGTCTCGCAACCTTTTTTAAGGTTAGAATTTTGCTATAAAAAGATTATTATGGTAAATATTTTAAATCTTTATTTTAATTAATCCCGAAAGGGCTAAATGTACACTTATACAGTTCAGTCTAACTGCTGAATTCAACTTTTTTTTCATGTGATACTTAAATGAACAAATACGTAATTTTGAATTTAATTTGCTATTTTCGTCCTTTTGATTACTTGTGGTAAATTTTTCTATACTTTTGAAGATGTTGAGTTTAAAATATAGAGAATGTGAGAATGTGATGAAACTTTCATAAGATGTGATACAATTAACTTATGTTTCTCGTCTTAGAAAACACTTGAAGATATTTCAAAATATTTAAAATTATATGTTATTTATTTACTTTCCATTATTATATGCTTTGATTCAACTTATTTTAAATCCTTCTTTTCATGAAAATTTTCATAAAAAAATTATATAATTAATAATTTAAATATTATTTTTATCATTTTCAACTTGCATTTTTTTTAAATGAATCTAAAACCTCTCTTTTTAATTCAAATTGTTTTGCTTTCATTTTAATGAAAGACTCGGAAATTATAATTAATTTTTTTTGTTTACAATAGTATTTTATATTTATACAAAATATTTAAATCTTATATTTTGAAAATACATAAATACATTCTGATTTCCTAATAATGTTATTTAGGAAATATTAAAAACAATTCTTTCAATTAAAATTATTATTAATAAAACACATAATTAGGTTATTATATTACACTTAATTTCACTCTGTGAAGAGGAAAATTTCACTCAGAAGCATATGTAATATTATGTAATATTAATTCAATGTGTAGAAATAACTGCAAAAGAAGATATATTTTCTTCTTTGAATAATTAAAAATAAAAATCAGAAATAATTTATAATAATTATTTTTGAAATTAAAAATTTTCAATTGATAAATTTGTTCAAAATTATCATTTCGAAGCCAAAAACGTGGAAATTTTGAATATGCACTTTATCGTTCCATCTAAAAAAATCTGCAATTAGTGAAAAGAATGTGATCCTTTATTTACAGTTTTATTTATTTTTAACTTTATTTTTTACTCTAACATTATTTCTCTAACGTACTATTTTCATATTTTATTACTACCATTTTTTTTTTTGTTCATTAATGACTAACTACATTCTATTTCATTTTTTCTTGCTGTTAACTTCTTATTTTTAACAATTTGTTTATAATCTTGCTATTAACTAACTTTTTTGTTTGTAGGTGGTATTGACGTTCTCCTGAGATTCATCCCAATTGGATACGATAAACTCTCGTGCATCACAATACTTTGTAAAAATAAAAATAAAAAAGACAACAAATGATATTCTCGATGAATTTAATTAATTACAATAACATGATGTAATTTTACAATGTTCCAGATGTCATTTGTTAAGTTTGCTTTAATATAACATTACGTTGAAAGAATATCATTTACATAATAATAAAAAAAAAGATAATGTTATCTTTCTTTCTTTTTTAAACTTTTATTTTATTCCTTTTGGTTTTATTCATGCAAAATTTTTTATCTTTCGCCAAAAAAATAAAGATTTACAATAATAATAATAATAATAATAATAATAATAAATATAATATAGGTTAATAATAATTATTTCTACAAACATTCAACTTGGAAAGAAAAACAAAATTTCCTTTAAGATAATTTTAAAATCAAAAAATCTACAAAGAAAAAAAAAATATCTAAGATAAATACATTGATAATGTGTATATATATATTTATATATATTTGAATGATATGAAATGAAATGTATACGAAATTTATAATTAAAAAAAAAAAAAAAAAAAAAAAAAAAAAAAAAAAAAAAAAAAAAAAAAAAAAAAAAAAAAAAAAAAAAAAAAAAAACAAAACAAAACAAAACAAAACAAAAATGTTCATAATTCTTTCATAATGTTTTCTGTAATTAAAGAAATAATCATATTTAATATATTAATATTAATAAATCAGAAAATAAAATAAAATAATAATAATAATAATAATAATACAAACCATAAACATGAGGAAAATGATCCACTGCCATATGCGAAGAAAACGAAATTTCTTGAAATATTTTATCTACATTTTCTACTTCTAACATAATATACGGTTTTCCATTATTACTATTGTTGTTGTTGTTATTGCTGTTATTGGTATTCTTTTTGTCAGTAGATTTTGTATTTTCATTACCATTTGTTGAAATATTCTCTTCTTCATTATTATCATCATCATCATTAACTTCACAATATGGTGTTCTATTACTTTTCACAATCCAATAAACTTTTCCAGGTGGATAAAGTTTAGGATTATTCATTTGTGATTTAATATTTTGTCTCATTTCCCAAAACCATGATTCATATTCAGCTTTTGATGCTTGACTTTTTTCGTCATTACCAAAACGTCTTGATTGATAATCTATTACTTTCTTTATAATTTTATTAGCAATATCTTCTTCTCCTTCTTTTCCTTCTTTTCTCATCTTGCCAATTTTTCTTATCATATTTCGTAAATCTAACACATGACCTATGCTTAATCTACAAATTACATCATCATCATAAGCTACTGATGTTACTAAAGTTTTAGCTCGTTTTGAAAGTTCAGCCGACATTACACAAGGTGTGGCAAATGCGTATGCATGAACTCTTCGACCTAATGGTAAATTACTCCATCTTGTAGTCATACGAGTTGTAGGTGATGCAAATAAAAGAGCTAATAAACTTGAAACACCTATAAAATAATATTAATTAATATCATTAATTAATAATTATATTTATTTATTCATTTAATTTAATTTAATTTAATTTAATTTATTAATATCATTCATTTTACATACCAGCACCTAAAGAATGTCCCACTAATATTAATCCATATCCTTCATTTGCTTCCATTTCTCGTTTAAGTGCTTCAAATACTCCTGATTGTCCTGGTGTGGCCATTGATTTTGCTACTTTAAATATTCCTTTATGTACTTGATGTTTAGTATAATCACCTCGTTGAATATCTTCGGGAAATTGAAAATCTTCATATTCACATGTTATATCTACAATTAAATCATAAATTGATAGTGTCCCTCTTAATGCAAGAATAATTGATCGAGTGGCGTGATCTCGAATTAAAAAATATGTTGGTTGATAACCACTTCCATTGGTTACTTTTTGATGTGATGAATCTACAATTGAATCGGATGATAAATCCGTTGAACTAGCAAATGCAAATCTATGTAATGTACCTTTTTGTCTCCATTGAGGTGACGGAAATGGTATATGACTTTTTATGATTGTTTTAAAATTATATGCAGATGATGAGAATTTTGAATATCGTTTGAGATTATGTAAAAGTGAAAATAATCTTTCATCTTCACTTTGATTTTGAAGTTCTTCTAAATATGGATTACTATATCTTTTTGATGTTTCTAAGAAAAGATCACTTAATCGTTTCACATGTTCATTATCCATTTTTGATATATATTCGGATGCTTCTTCACGTGGAGTTAATTCACCTACAACTATATTCTTTTTTTGATTTTTATTTATTAAAATTATTTCTTCATCATCTTCTTCTTCAGTAATTAATAATTCTAATTCTTCCATTAATGTATCATCAGGTTCTATATGTACCCAATCATAACATAAATCCCAAAAATCTACTAATTTCTCCTTTTTCCAACCTCCTAATTCTCTTTCAAATTTATCCTTCGTAACATATTGAAGACAAGACCAAGCGGTCAATGATTTAATCACTAAAAGAATACTAAATGGATCATCGACTTGAACTTCTTCTTCATCATTTTGAAATCTCCATTCACGTTTCACTAATTGAACAAATCCAGCCAAAGCTTTAGCAGCATCGGTAGTTCCAAATAAAGTATCAATTAAAGTCATACTCTCAGTAGCAGTTCCCAAAGTAATTTGTATAGTTTCAGATGTAACTCCTATACCAGCTAGAGTAATCTGTTCGGCTAAATATAGAGAACGATGTAATAAATTTGTAGATGCTCCAATTATTCTAGGAATGAAAATCAATAATCTTGCAAAATCAATAAAAAATGAATGTGGAAAATGAATATAGAAAAAATGAATGAATGAATGAATGAATGTGGAAAAATGAATGAATGTGAAAAAATGAATTGAGGTAATGGTGGTAATGAATCAATATAAAGAGATATAAAGAGATATAAATAGAGACATATATAAATGTGAAGAAATATTAAATCAATTCCTACCTTCCACCGTACCCTTCGAATGAAGTTGCTTGTACCATCCTTTCAGACAATACGCCAGTAACAGTTCGAGCAATATCTAAACCAGCTTTCGTTGAAAATTTCGCAGTTTCCAAATAAAGTTTTGATATCACACCAGCTATATCTAAACCAATTTTTGAAACAGAAGCAATATTTGAAACCGTTAAGGCAAAATCCGAATGAGGTTTGTGTACCAGAGATGTTTCGGTATTCATGTCAGAACTTTTTTTTTCATGGTCACTATTAATACTAATAGGAGAATTTGAAGTAGGGGAATTTGAAAAAGTAGAGACAAAGGGTAAAATCAATTCATTTCCATCTAAATTACGACGTTTTCTTCGACGAGCTTGTAAGTTTAAATCTTGATCATAATCAAATTGAAATTGAGAGAATTGAGATGAATCATTAGTATCATCTGCTAGATTCAAATTATCCGTATTATTCGTGTTAACGATATTATCTATATTAACGACATTATAATTCAAATTGGTTACGTTATACACATTATCTATCGAAACGTTACTTTCACTTTTATGGACATTATTTTCCGTGGTTGCGTTCATTGTTAACTAAAACGATTTTAATAATAACTTTAAAGGTAACTTCGTGAAATATTTATTTTATATTTTATTTTTTTTTTATTCAAGCAAAAAGATAAAATAAAATTCACGACCACAAAAATTCGTTAATGAAATGGGAAACAGTTTAAATAGAAGAAAAAATATAAATAAAGCGATCATTACCAAACCAAGTAATATTGTTACTCATGAAGGATGTTTAAGGAGTATTAAACAGTATATTAAGTCTACATATTTTATTCCTCACGTGTCGTGGGGTGTGTAATACAGTTTTAGTTACTCCACGCCATAAAGAGACGTTAATTACAAGAGAATAAGAAATTTAGTAAGATTCTTTTGATAAAATTATCAATTTCAGCGTATATTTTTCTTCATTTGATAAATTCATATGTTAATTCGTCACTTTCAATTAATTATCAATCCATCAGATTCATTATTTCATTATTAAAGTTTAAACACTTGTACAAAAAAGGTCGATAAAAATAAAATTATAAATTATTAATAGAATTAAATTAAAAAAATTAATAGAATTAATAAAAAATTCAAGATTAATAAAATTTCAAAATAACAAATATATTTTATAAAATTAATTAAATTTAATTAAAAGGAATAAAACGGAAAAAAGGAAAAAGGGAAAAAGGGAAAAGGGAAATCAATTCAGGTGGAAATTATCAAAATCGATCTACGACAAGATATATTTATATAAAGGGCGTGAGAGAGAAAGGTTGCGGAATGAAGTTAATAAAATTTACGCGTGACTTTAATAAATTTAGGAAATTTGGCAAATAGTTTTTTTTTATTATTATTCAAATGAAACAATTGCCTCCTTACTATAATGATTGTTTTTTTTACTAGTTTACATTCTTGTTTTTAATTGATTTGGAAAAATGTTTCGTAAAATTACGCCCCGAATGGCTGCAATGACCGCAATGACTGTAATGATATTCTTCGAGAGAGACAACAGTATTTTAGTACTAAATTGTTGAATATTTTTTTTTTTTTTAATGATTTAGTTGATAATTCCAGAACGATGATCTATAACCTAGTTTCATCTCTTTTAAAGTCTTTAGCATATCAATATTTTCAATATACTCTTTATACATCTTCCCTAAAAACAAAAATAAATTCAGAAAATCAATTTTCTCTTAGAATAACAAATATCTAATATGTATAATAAATATAATAAATATAATAAATATAATAAAATTTAATAAATGTAATAATAATAAATATAAATCAAATAAGTTTGTAACGATTATAAATAAGTAAAAAGCCATTTACAATGGATAACGGATAAAAAGTTAGGGTTAAAAATATAAATAACACAAACGAAACAAGTTTTTACTAGAATTATTCTTAATTAATAATATTCTTAAAATTCTTGATTAAGAGATTTAGAATGGATAAAGATCTGGAGCAAAAATTTAAAAATAAATAAATAATAATGAAAATTCTTATCTAATTCATTCCCCACTTTTATCTTCTTATAGAAAAGAATCTCAGAATTTATATTTTCGAATATAAAGTAATAACAATAAATTATTTAAATTGTAGGTTACACGATAGTCTCTATATGACCAATTGGATTTAATTTCGTATTATTCATTTAAAAAACCGTTTTTTATTTTATTTTTAGAAATTCGATTAAATTTAAATTTAAATTTGAATGAAGTCCAAAACAAGATTTAGTCTAAGTAATAGTTATTAAAGTCTAATTTCATCATGAATCATAATCAGTCTATTCTTTACAAAAAAAAAAAAAACTCTGATAAATAACGTCCGCCGATCTAGAAAGTACGGATGACTCTAGTTTAGCATCGCTATTTGTTTCTGGACACTAATAAGAATACGACAAAAGGCTTGTCATTATTTTCACACGTGTCGAAAGATATTTAGATGTTCGTATGCAGAATTTACATCACGACTGGGGAATAATCAAAATGTAAAAAATCATTGGGATCAAATAAATAGGAATGAATTGATATGAGTGTATCCTTCTTACCTGAACGGCAGCCAAGAGTTGTATTGTGAGGATTCTCGTGTATCCATCCAGCCTTCACAATGCAAGCGAATCTGAAGTGAATAGAGAAAACAAAATAAATTTTCATCCAATGTAAATTTTGACATGCTTATAATGCTCGTTCGAAACTTATTTACCGGAACGACTTGACATGCTATAATATTTAAATCTTTGAAAAAATTATTAAAAAAACTTTATATCTAAAAAAAAGTAAACCAATCGGATCTTCTAAAATATAGGTAGAATGTCATTTCGTACTGCTAAATTTAAATTTAAGTATTCTCTAAAATTTTTAATATTTTTTCAACATAAATACCTGTATAAACGCATAAATATTATTGTAATTTACTATTCTGGTTTTCGAATGTAAAATTGGTTCAAATAGCATTTTGCGTGTAATTAGATAAAAAAATATAATTTTGCAGTTTTGCTATTTTATCTAAACTAAATTTATGTTTCAAATTTATTGATTTTTATTAAAAAAATAAAATAAAATAAAATTCTACCTTACGTACCATATGTAAACAAAAAAAAATTTCAACTGATTTTATATGCAAAGAATGCTATCAAGAATATGGTGCAAACCGTGTACCTCAAAATGATTTTAATAAATGGGCAAGTGGAAATGACAAAATAGATAAATTCATTCAAGTAGTTGTTGAGAAGTAATAAAATGGATATCTTAAACAAATTGCTAAGTGGATTTGAAAACTTGGTGGATTCAAGAAGGAAATAATTTCTGAGGAGAAAACGAGAAAGAATAAAATAATATAATAATTATTATTATTAATGGATGATATTGTTTCTATAGGACTCCTTCTATTTAATTTAGGAGCTTTACCTTTACTACCTCCTCGTACAAATGAGATCTTTTTATAAGGTTCAATATTTCATCAGCTAAAAGATAAAAATAACGAGTAGCATTGCTGTAATTTGGATTTTAATGTGATAAATTATCATTGATCCATTCATCAAGGTTTGTATGAAGAGTAGGATTCTCCACTTGGTAATGATAAAGTCTAAAATATTAACAACTTCTAACTGCAAATCATCTCGTTTGAAAAAAGATTCCAGGCAGATTCTGGAAGAGAAGTAAAGTCATCTGCATCAAAAACAAGATTCGGATACTTTACAATAATGATACCAATACTAAAATTTAAAAATTTTGTTACCAAACAGTTAAATTAGAGAAAAATATGTTTTTTTTAACCAAGAAGTTTAATGTCAATGAGGTGAGTCTAATTTGTTAGTTAATCCCTCAAGTTCAATTCATTAGCAACCAAAAATATCTGTAATAAAATAGTATTATTACTACTATTGATAACATCAAAAATTTGAGCAGAAATTTTTGATTTTGTAATTATTCTCATTTGGCTGAATATTTTCTAATTCTACACGATCGATATTTCAATGCACAGCAACTTCTTGTAGCTGCGTCCACTTTTTTATTGACATAATTCCCAAACTACTTTATTATTACAAATACCGTGAAAATTTTATTATTTATTTAAATCACCTAATTAAAATCATAAAATAAATCCTTTTTTGTAAATTAAATTTTCGTTTATATAAACAATAACAACAATAAGGTCAAAAAATTAGATGCAACCACAATAACAAAAATCATTCATTCTATAGCAATATAAGGTGAAACACAAATTATCTCCCGCGATTATTTAAACAATTTGGTTTAACTTATTATAATTATTTTAATCATTATAACTAGAAAACGACGTTATATTATTGGATGAAAATCACATGTGACAAGAAAATGTGCTGATCAATTTCACTAAACGTAGAAGAGTGCAAAAGTATCATTTTTGATAGATTTATTTTTGATGAACACATGGTATATATATCATGTGAACAATGTATATTATAACTATTGGATTCTTTATTTGTTTAATTTGAAAATTTGCTTAGTAGAAAAATTATCTGTAAATATTATTAATTTAATTTTAGAATAATTTAAATACTAAATTGAAAAAATTGAATTGTTGACTTGGTTTAAACTATTAAAATAAATTAAAACAGTATAGAAAAAAGTAGTGTTGTCACTTGAACAGTTCCAGACAGTTCTCAGATAAGGTTATACAAACTTTGAACATTGATTATATAAAATTTTATTGAAAAAAATGATTTAGTTATTTCAAGTAAAATTGTTTAGCAACCAACTCTATATATATATTTAAAGTTTCATTTTGATTTAAGCTTTATAAGAAATTTGGATATAAATGTAAATAGGCAAAAAAAAACTCACAAATAGCTAAATATATAATACTGAAAAAAAAGTGTAACCAGTAAATCATGTAGTTAAGAAAAGTTTAAAAAATTTTAACTTCATGTCTTAATATTCAATTTCTTAAATTCACAATTATTATCTTTATTTGTAAAATATACATGTTTCCAAAATTGATTTCTGATTTTTAAGGTATTTTGTTTTTTTGAAATTTTTGAGATTTTTAAGATATTTATTTTATTTGATTTAATATATTTTCAATTAAAGAATTTATCTGAATTATATATGTTCTCAAAATTGATTTCTAATTTTTGAAGTATTTTGTCTTTTTGAGATTTATTCAGAATCTATTCTATATATGAAAGTAAAAAAATATCTAGTTAAGTATATCTTTAATTAAAGAATTTGGGTAGTCAAAAAATTTCAGATTTTATATAAAATAATTTTATCTTCTATGAAAAACTATTTTGACTTTTTTTCTCAAAATTACAATTTTAAAATTTCAAATTAATTTTGTATGCAAGTATAATTCAAGTAATCAAAAAATTTAGATTTTAAATAAATAATTTTATCTTGACTTATTATAATAGATTATTTGTATGTAAATATATTGTAAAAGTATTATATATATATATATATACTTTGTAATTTATTATATATTAATTAAGATCAATATGAATGATAGATAAAGATAATATCCATAATTGTGAATTAAGAATTATGATA